GAATTTCATTACATTTGGAAATAATTTGTGGATTAGATTTTTTTAAAGATTTTATTTATTTATTTGACAGACAGAGATTACAACTAGGCAGAGAGTCAGGCAGAGAGAGAGAGGAGGAAGCAGGCTCCCTGCTGAGCAGAGAGCCCGATGCGGGGCTCCATCCCCAGGACCCTGGGACCATGACCTGAGCTGAAGGCAGAGGCTTTAACCCACTGAGCCACCCAGGCGCCCCGTGGATTAGATTTTTTTAAAAACTCTGTGAGCACTTCAAGAATGCGAACGAATACCGGAGAGCACTGAGAACTCGCGGATAATTATACTGTGAACTAGCCAAATAATTTCCAAGGCAGACTTACAAAAATCACTTCATATTATTTTACAGTGATGTGTTATATTTAATGCAGCAATTCTGGGATTTTAATAACTGATTTGGGGAGGAACTTCCAAAAGTAACAGTACTTCATCCTAGGGACGTCTTAAAATGGCCTTTGATACAATTAGCCCCATTTTACGGATTTAACTCTGTGCTCTGCAGTTTCCTAGTCACGCTAGTCAACCTCCCCAGTTTCTCCTGGCCAAGTCCTCCTGCCTTCATATTTCCACCCCCCCTTTACCCACTATCACCAACAAGCTCACCCTGGGCCTGAGCACACACAGGGTGGGTGGGTGGGTGGGTGTGTGTGTGTGTGTGTGTCTGTGTGTCTGTGTGTGCACGCGTGCGCGCAGTCAAGCAAGGTACACATTGCCCCGGCTCTTGTCCCCTCTTGGCTTGCTCACCACTCAGGTTGTTCCATTGTCTTCTAAGGATCCCTGGATGGCTTCTGGAATGGGGGAAGCAGCAATCCCCCAAATCGCCACCAGGTGGTGCCACAAGCTCAAGCTTGAGGTTCTGTGGGTGGCCTTCAAGGAGCCAGAGCTAGGAGGCCCCCGGGGCCATTCCCCAGGCTTCTTCTCCGGGGTGATTCTGGCCCCTCCGGGGTGAGCCACATGACCTGTTTTCACCACTGTGGTTTGACTCCTGCTCCCTCTCTGTCCCAGTCTCCCAGCTGTGTTTGTCTCTTGGGGTTCCTGTCTCCCTCTCTCTGCCCCTCCCCCACCTTGTGTTTTCTCTCTCTCTCTCTCTCTCTCTCTCCTTTTCTCAAATAAATAAAATTTAAAAAACAAAAGAAACAAACAAAAAACCAGCTGCTGGTGACTATTACATGACAGACACTTTGCCAGGCTCTAGGAGAATCGGTGAAAGGTCAGTGAAGGCAAGTCAGAGTCCCAGTGTAGGGGCAGAAGCTCCCAGCAGAGAAGGGCTGTGGTAGGTGAGCCCTTTTATCCACTGCCTCCTCCTCCTCTCCTCCCTTCCCCCCTTCCCTCCCTTCCCCTCTCTTCGTTCCAAAAGCCACTCACCAGAAAGAGCCAGAAGTGTTCTCCTCTCAGTTCCCATCCCTTCCATACACAAATCTCCCAAAGGCCACCTCCTCATTATTCTCATTTCAAGGTTTTGGGGGCCCCACCAGGGGCTAAGCCAGGGCCTTGAGTGAGTGACCCAATGACTGAGATCTTCCCACCAACCACTTGCTACCCATGTGTTGGGGCCCTGGGTGCGTTGGACTATAGTATGGTTTTTCACCTTCACCCAGATATTTACTCCATCCTTATTTTCTTTATCTTTCTCTGGGGTAAGGGATCACTCCGTTTGTCCACAATTAAACCCTCCATCAGGCTCAGGTCCCATTACCTTCTCTCCACCCCCGCCCCCCACCCCTACCTCTTTCTCTCTTCCTACTGGATCTTAACTCTCATGTCCCTCAAGTGCCCACCTCCATGCCAGCCAAAGCAATTAGACAAGAGAAAGCATCTTAAAACCTTGATAGGAGGAGATGAAGTTTCACATTTGCAGACAACTGTGTACTGAAGGTGAAATTCTCTGAAGAGAAGTACAGTAAGTTAGTGAAGGGTGAAATTCCTACAGAGCTATAAATTGCATCATCATCGATATTATAATGGAAGGAAAGACCTTATTTATAGTAGTGTCAGAAAAGATAAGGTACTTCGGAATAAATAAGAAATGTTCAAAACCAATATGAAAAACATTATAAAACTTTTTAAAAATATTTTATTTATTTATTTGACAGAGATCACAAGTAGGCGGAAAGGCAGGAAGCAGGCTCCCTGCTGAGCAGAGAGCCCGATGTGGGGCTTGATCCTGGGTGCCTGGGATCATGACCCGAGTGAAGGCAGAGGCTTTAACCCACTGAGCCACCCAGGCGCCCCTATTATAAAACTTTTGAAGAACACAAAAGTCTTAAAAACAGGCCACGGTCATGGATCTGTAGACTGAATATCACGATTGTGATTTTTCGTGCATTTCTTCACACAATAATGGGATGCCAATAAAGATACTGACAAAAGACACATGCCCAGTCAGCATATAAAGAGGCTTGACACCATCAATCACACCCATTACAACGGCTGACATGAAAAAGACTGACTGGGTCTCAGTGGGTTAAGCCTCTGCCTTGGGCTTAGGTTATGATCTCAGGGTCCTGGGATCAAGCCTTGCATGGGGTTCTCTGCTCAAAGGGAGGCCTGCTTCTCCCTCTCCCACTCCCCCTGCTTGTGTTCCCTCTCTTGCTCTCTCTCTGTCAAATAAGTAAATAAAATCTTAAAAAAAAAAAAAAATACTGGGACGCCTGGGTGGCTCAGTTGGTTAGGCAGCTGCCTTCGGCTCGGGTCATGATCCCGGCGTCCTGGGATCGAGTCCCACATTGGGCTCCTTGCTTGGCGGGGAGCCTGCTTCTCCCTCTGCCTCTGCCTGCCATTCTGTCTGCCTGTGCTTGCTCTCTCTCCCTCTCTCTCTGACCAATAAATAAATAAATAAATAAATAAATAAATAAATAAAAAATACTAATCCACAGCAATGGAAGAGCCGATCGTTGGTGCCCTAGGGCTGGGGGAGGGGGCAGGGACTGGGGAAGGAACTGGAGTGAGTTGATAGAAATGTTCTGCATCTTGATTGTATTGGCTGATGGTTACATGGTGTTCACATTTGTCAAAACATATCAAGAACTGTATTTAGAACGGGTGCATCTCATTGTAGCATACTTTAAAAAAAAAAAAGTAAAAGCTGGAGGAAGACAGCAAAAACCCTGTGCTTTTGAAAATTCAAGTTAAAGAGTGACGAACAACTGGACAATTATAATAAAAACCCTCCACTGAGATGCAGTTTTTCACTTATGAGATTATCAAAAAATCCAAAAGTTTAATAACACCCCGTGCTGGCATGGCTGTGAGGAAACGCACACTGAATCACTAATCACGGGAGTGTAAATTGGAATAAGCCCTTAAAGAGGGCATTTGGACAATACTTGTTTAATTACAGATGCTTGAACCTAGCTATTTCCCTTCTGGAATTTTATCCTACATTAAAGGTCATTACTGCAGCGTTGTTTAAAATAGCAAAATCCCCCAAATAATCTAAATGTCCATCAATACAGACAGGTTAAATTATGATGCATCCAAACAATGGAACCCTATGTAACTACAAAACTCAGTGGGGAAAGTCTGTGTGTGCTATTATGGAAAGATCCTCAAGGTTGTAATGATAAGTGAATAAAGCAACATTATATTTGCAATGTATTTGTATTTTTAAAAAATCCAGAGGATAGGGGCGCCTGGGTGGCTCAGTGGGTTAAAGCCTCTGCTTTCGGCTCGGGTCATGATCCCAGGGTCCTGGGATCGAGCCCCGTGTCGGGCTCTCTGCTCAGCGGGGAGCCTGTTTCCTCCTCTCTCTCTCTGCCTGCCTCTCTGCCTACTTGTGATCTCTATCAAATAAATAAATAAAATCTTTAAAAAAAAAAATCCAGAGGATATATATTTGGATTTTCTTGTATATATATGCATGGAAAAAAAAAAAAGAAAACAACTTCTGGAAGAATAACCAACAACCTAACATCAGCAGATACCTGTTTGGAAGAAGGTGTGGGACATATGTGGATGGAGTCAGGAGTATGAGGGACGATTTTCACAGTATGCCTTTTTAATCTAAAAAAATTTGAATGATGTGACTGTACCAGCTATTCAAAATTTACTTATTTTTTTAAATTATATCAAAATAATACATTACACATGTCAATGTGAGCATTTTACTTATCGTTATCCACAAGGTTACCTTGTGGTAACCACACTAAGTAAGTCTAGTTCAGTGCAGGTACACATAAGGTAGAGCGTTACTGTTTCTAACCCCTGCTCCCCAAATCCACGCACAGCCGCCCCCCCCCACCCCCACCATACTTCAGGTTCCAGTTCCTGAAATCAGAGGCGCTCAGCTGCCTCTTCCGGGTGTGTCCTCGCAGGGGCTGTCCCCTCTGTGGCATGCTTTGTCCCATCTCTTTGCTTCTCTCCTCACCCTGCCCTGTGGCTGCAAGGGCATCACCTCCTCTGAGAAGCCTCCTCTGACTGACACCCTCTCTCTCCCTCCTCACACACTACCCCCCCACCAAGTGTCCCTTGCCTTCCCCAGCAGACTGCAAGGCCTGCTCAGTCCTCAAAGCCCAGGGGCCCTTGAACCTGTGGGCTCCCTTTCCTGAAGCACCAGCCCCACCAAGGAATGAGAGCCCCTCAACACAGGAAGGAGCGGCAGGCCTTACACCCCTCCTATGTAGACATCCGGGAGATTCAGTTTCCTGTAAATGTTAAGTTGATCCTCCCACACCCACAAAGACAATCTGAGTTTCAGTTTCTCCTAAGCTTTCATGAGCAAGACGTGGGGCTTTCCCATAAACTCCCGGTACACTGGGTGCCGCTGCCGTGGGGGGAGGAACTGATGAGCCGCTCATGCATGAAGCTCACAGTCCAGCAGGGAGGGCAGGCACCGATGCAAGGAATGCTGATACACATTGTGGGGAATGGATGTGACAGCCCCAACACGGAGGGGGGCCCCATGGAGGGCGGAGGACCACGCCCCACTAGGCCTGGAGGGTGGGGGGAGGGTGGCGGGGGGGGGCGGGAAGGACTGCAGGGAAGGCAGTCTCTAGCTGAGGGCAGAGCAGGGGCAGCTGGCTGGCCTCTGGCCCTCCATGGGGAGAGCCCGGGAGCTGAAACCTGAACCCCAAGTCCACCTAGTCCACGCTAAGAGGATTTCCCAAGGGAGGGAAAACGCAGGCACTCGCAGAAACAAAGGGGAAAACTAAACTGTGCCAGGGGAACTAGAGAGGCCCCGAGGGGAACAGCCTGGTGCCAGAGGACAAGCCCAGGACTGTTTCACAAAGGGGAGGTCCCGATTTCTCTGAGTTTCTTTTTTCACAAGCCTTTCCGGGAAGTGAGATTCATTTCTTAGGGCTGAAGACGTAAAAGGCCCCTTCCCTGGGGTCCCTGGGGTTTGGGCTGGAGCACAGCAGCAGAAAGCTGGGCCAGGCTCGCAGGGCTAAAGACCTGGCCTGACCTCTAGGCCCACTTCCTTTTGTTTCCTTCCCTTCTGCTGGTGGAGAAACAGGGACCCCGGGGGGTGGGGGTGGAGAGGCCAGGGAGCTGACAGCAGCCCTGACTCCTCTCCTGAATGTGATCAGACTCACCCCCCAACCCTGCCCCTCGGGAGGGTGTTTGCAGGACCAGCCCTGACACACCCATATCCTCTTTCCTAGCCAACATCTACCCCAAAGAGGAACAGAAGAGCCCATACCTCCCTCAGGGTCTCTGAAACCCTTGGCAGGAGGGGAACTGTGGGTGATTCACACGCATATATTAAGGGTGTGTCAGCCTCCCAGCCCTGGTCCTTGCCCAGGTGGCAGTAGGGGCATGGCCTCGGGGACTCCCCAACCCACCCCGTGCCCCCACCTCTCTTCAATACATTGTAAACAGCACATTTATTGGTGGTTTGCCAACCTCTGGTAAAAAGCACAGAACAGCAGGGCTCTCCTACATGCTGCCCTGGGCTCCAGCCCGTCAGGCATGCAAGACGGAGCTGGGGGACGAGTCAAGACATCTTCAGGAGCAGGGCCAGACGTGGAGAAGGCCCCACGCTTTTCCATCCCCACTGCCCACTGGCCTGGGCCTAGAGAACAACCGGGAAGGCAGGCCCAGCTCGATCCCCAAATCCCTGCCCTGAAGTGACTCTTCTTGGTGGCTGCCCTCCTTCTCCACCACTCAACCTCTCTGATCCCCACCCTGGAGCTGGGACCTGAGCCACATGCTTGGCTCCCTCACACCAGCCCGAATCCATGCAGCCAGGCTATGTCTGCGGGCCCCGCCCCTCCAGTCAGGTCGCCAGCAGAGCGGGCCAGCTTGGCTCTTGTTATCACACTGTGTACCCGGCTCGGGGCTGGGCATTCAGCCGGGGACCAGGATGGGCAAAGGCTTGTCCAGAGAAGCACTCTAGGTAAGGAGGACAAGGCGGCCTGACACAGTCTCTCCCAGCTCTGGTGTCGGCCCAGCCTCCATCCCTTGGCTCCTGGCTGAGGAGAGCCTCAACAATCCAAGGGGTGGCACCAGTGCCGCCTTCTCCTCTAAGATGCCTCCCTGGCTTGACGCCAGACTCTGAGCTGGGCTACGGATAGTCAGCCAAAGCCGCTACTTCAGGGCCCTGAGGACAGCCTCCAGCTTCATGGCCACGGCCAGGTCACCCTTCACCTTTAGCCGCCCACTCATGTAGGCCCCCAGGGGCCGCAGCTCCCTGCACAGAAGGGCCCGCAGGTCCGCCTCGGTCATCTCCACCACCACATCAGGGATGCCGTCAGGCACTCCATGTCCTACCCTCCCGTGCCCTGTGGAGGGAAAGAAAAATTGAGCACTGGTGGGGGGATGGCTATGCAGTAGGGGGAAGGTCTGGTTAGCATGGCCCACTGGGAGGAGTAGAAAGTAACAGTCAGGTGTTCAGGTTCTAATTCCCTGAGTTCAAGTCTTATTGGCTATAGGAGCACTCAGGGCCTCAGTTTCCAAATTGGTGAAACAGGGGGGACGATCATCCCCGAATAGAGGCTCGAGGTGAGTTATAGGGAGATCACGCATTGCACGTGCTCAGCACGCAGTCGGCCTGTACTGTGTGTGGGGCGCGGGCTGCAACCGTCAAAGTCGTCCTTCTCACAGAGACAGGCAGGGAGACAAACACCCAGATTGTGCTGTCTGAGCCCCCGACTGCTATGGGGTCCCTCTAAACTGTGGCGGGAACAGAAGGTTTTTAAATTTAAATTTAAAAAAGGACCATGGGGAGGGGGCAGCTACAAGCAACCTGGCTGGGAAGGCGAGCGAGGGCAGGGAAGGCAGTGGCACCTGTAGTGAGGTCGAGGAAGTAGATGTTCTGGGCACCACTGGGCAAGACGACATTGAACTGGTAGCAGGCGCCGACTTGGCTGACCAGGGCCTCCGACAGGAAGGGCTGCAGAGCAGTCAGCAGTCCCTCCGCCACGGGCTGCTTTGGGCCTAGCCCAGCACCAACGGGAGGGGCAGGCTGCTCGACTTCACTCACCATCTCCAAGCTGTCTGCTGGGGGTTGCCAACAGGGTTGGGGAAGGAAGCAGAGAGAAGAAAGTCAGTGTGCTCCCAAGGTCAGGCTCACTGTGACCTCTGCACTTCTCCTGGCAGCTCCCTCTCATAGGCCCTTCAAGCCCGAGTTTGACTTCCTCCTCGGCTAAGAAGCAGCCCCTTAGCTTTCACTCCTGGGTGCTGTCCCCTCCTCCCACGGAGGCTCCCGAAGGCCTCCACCCACTCAGACAGCTCTCTTCACCGCCTTAGCTCCCATTGGCTCAAGCACTAGGGACAGCCTGAGCAGCTGGGCAGGTGAGCACTGCACGAACATGCTCAGCTAAGGGAACAGGCCCTGAGACTGTGCAGGACACTGAGCTGAGCGCCCCAGAAGCACCTCCCCTTCTTTCTGGAGCTCCTCACCTGGCCCTGGGGCTGACAAGCCTCCCGCCACAGAGGACAGGCCTCCTCCCAGGAAGTGGAGGGCCAGCTGCTGGAGAGTGCTGTCCAAGTTGGGCCCCACTGGGCTGTCCTGGGGTGGCTGGAGCACGGCCTCCACTGCCAGTTCTACCCGGTCCACCTCCAGCCCCCAGGCCCTGGTCACATCGTTGATTTCCAGCTGGAAAAGAGTGTAGGTGGAGAAATGGAATTAAGCCAACAAGCCTTTCTGGGAGCACCTTCTTTAGGCTGGAGGCACCACGCCTCCTGTTCCGGGCCAGGCTCCCTCCTGAGGAACACAGGCAGAGGGCAAGTACATACAACCCAGGAGCTGGCAACTGGTGTGAGTAACTAGGACCAGGCCTGACCCCCTGGAGGCCCAGGGAATGGGCAGTGATGCCGGGTGGAGTGGGGTCACCCCAGCCAAGGAGTACAGCAGGAAGGAAGACTGTGATGTGACCTAAAAGAAATATGTGTTCCCATTTGATCATTCAACTGATTAAAATATACTTCTACGTATTTGTCTTTGTTCCTGACTCAGCTCCTACGACCCTTGGAATTGCCTGTGAGAAGAGTGATAAAGGGGTCTTCTACGAAGGTAAGAAAGGTGACTTTTGGACCCACTCAAGGGCGGGGGCTGGCTGCCAGGAGGACTAACTATGTGATTGGAGAGTTGGAACCTTCAGTCCCACCCTGAGCGATGACCAATGACTTGGTCCTCAGTACGCAAAGAAGCCTCCAGAGAATTCCCAGAAGGACTGGGTTCCAGAGCTTCCAGGCTGATGAACGCCAGAGAGTGGGGTGCCTGGGGAGGGCAGGAATGTTCCATACCCCTTCCCCAGACCTTGCCCTGTGTCTCTCTTTGTTTGGTTGTTGATTCATAGCTTTTATCACATTCTTTAATAAAGTGGTAAATGTGCTTCCCGGAATTCTGAGAGCCGCTCTAGCAAAAGGACCCAGGGAGGTGGCTGGAACCCCCAACTGGAGCCAGTCAGTGAGAAACGCAGGTAACAGCCTGGGGCTTGTGACTGGCATCTTAGTAAGGGATGGGGGCAGTCTTGTGGGACTGAGCCTTTAACCCACGGGATCTGATGCTATCTCTTGGTAGACAGTGTTCAAAGTGAGTTGAATTCTAGGGATACCCTACCGGTGTCTGAAAATTGCTTGGTGCTATGTGTGTGGAAACCCCCTTCCCCACACTGGAGTTGGGTCCGGGAACCCCACAAGAAGGACTCTTTCAGGCAATGGGAACAACATGTATAAAAGCCCGGACAGAAGAACCTGGAACGTCTGGGGAAGTGTGAGTAACCACCGTTCCATTTAGCTAGACTCTCAAGTGTGGCTTGGGAGACGAACAAGCGGAGGGCTCTGAGGTGGGCGGCCCTGCTCGCTTGGCTTTATTCTGATACACAAGGAGCCTCGAGAGGAGTTCGGCAGGGGGTGACCGCAGACCTGCTCGTTGGAAGCTCCTCTTGGCTGCTCCGTGGACACCGGATTGAAGGGGGCTGAGGGTGGGGACGTGGAGACCACGTGGGCCACTGTTTCAAAGTGCAGGCAGAAATGAGGCGGCTCTGGTGTTAGACGGAGAGGCGGCCATGAAGCCGAGACACGCAGAGGACAGAACGCAACTCTGTTGACTAGACGCAGCTACAGCGAGACACCGGGAAACAAGCAGGAAGCGCGGTGGCCGCCTGCCTGTGAGCGCCGGAGGGCGGAGGGCGGAGAGGGCCGGTCTCTGGTGTGGGCTCCTGCACGGGCGCGAGCGCGGCGCTCACCCGGAGCGAGCACACAGGCCCACACATGCTCAGCGATGGCTAGGGGAGGGAAGAGGACTATTTTTTTTTTTTTTTTAACATATTCAGCTTGAAGTGTCTATGCAACAGCAACTGTCCACCAGGCGGTTGGATAAACGGGGTCCAGGGCACAGGAGGGGAGCTGGAGCAGAGGATTGTACATAATCAGTATCCAGAAGCAGCACGACGCCCGGCTGGATGAGCCCTCCCGGGAGGTCCTAGGCAAGAAGAAGAGGCCGTTGGCAGAACCTTGGAAACCGAAGGGCAGGAGAGCAAGTAGTAAGCAGGAGTGAGCTGGATGGAGGAAAAGCAGAAGTGGAATAATGGAAGCCAAGGGAGCAGAGGATCCGAGAGAGAGAGAGAGAGAGAGAAAGGAGGGTGCACAGAGTCAGAGGCTCCCCCCACGTGAAGCAAGCGTGGGACCGAGAAGTGATGAGAGCTAGCAGGAAGGAGGTCACACTGCTGTCTTAGGAGTCTAGAAGAAGCCTAGACTGAGGATGGGGCGAGCAGGGGGGAGAGGTGGGGGAGGTAGGGGAGAGCTGTCAGGGGCTGGGGTGCGGAGAGAGTCTGTGCCCACGCCCACGCAGAAAGGAGCGGAGGGAGGACTAACAGAAGCAGAAGCTGAGCCCTGAGCCCAGAGCACTGCCCACGCAGGGAGGAGCCTCGGAGGAAGAAGCACCTCTTGGCTTGCGGTGAGTAGAGGGACAGCCCAGACCCGGAGGTTGAAGGGCTGATGCCGGAGGAGCAAAAGGGTTCCTGTCCTGGGGGTCTGCCCCCTAAGGAGGAAGAGGCCAGGTTGCAGCAGGGGAATGTAGTGTGTGGTGGCAGTGAATGGAAGCAAGCAACAGGCCTGGGGGAGGAGTGAGCAGCTCACCAGGGTCCAGCAAGGGAGACTGGAGAGTGTGAGTCCCTCCAGGGAGGAGGCAGAAAGGGGAGTGAGAAGGAGAAATGTATGCCTGACCCAGGGCTTCCGGGAGGCAAGCTAGTGCTCCTGAGACTTCGTTGTAACCACAGGCACTGACCCCACTCTACCAGGCGCCAGCCCAGTCTGGGAAACAGGCCCTAAATGACTAACATCCTGGTGCAGGACCGACTTCCCCCAAACTGCCTCTCTCGGCTTTGTTGCACAACACGCCTGGTGTTCTGGTTTCGTTCCCCACCCGCCCCTGACAGCAGTAAGGCCGAGATCAGCTTTCTCCTCTGAAAAGTATGCTAAAATGGAATGTGGTTTCATAAATAAAAGCTGTTATCAATTTGTTATCAACTGTAGAAGACGGAGCACTGGATTGAGGGTGGGGGGTGGGATAGCCAGTGATCTGGCTCTGGGCCGGCTCTGCCCTTGACTATGGTTCTTGGGGGGCAACCAATAACTTCTGAGCCCTTAGTTTCCTCCCGCCAAAATAAAACCACAAAATCAGCCCTCTGGTAGCAGAATGTGAAGCGGACACACGTGGGCAGCAAAAGGACTCATAGACCCTAAGACACTCTGCACGTGACAGCTGCCGTCCCCAGCACAGCAGCATCTCCTTGGGAGCTTCCCTCATGGGGCTGGTTCACTTCCAGAAGGGACTTGGATCTCCAGGACTGGCATTACTGCCCCCCCACTCCGGTCCTCAAACCCCAGGTCCCCAGGGGAAAACACAGCCAAGGGGACTAAGGGGAAACCTCACTCAGGGTCCACCAGGATACAGGAGAAAGCCCAAGGTGAGCCTGGGGAGCAGGGGATATGCCACCACATGTGACACATGCCACATTTCCACCCCATCCTGTCACAGAAGGGATGAGAGGGGAATTCTGGTGTAGATAATGACTCACACGTGGAGAGACAAGAAAAAGGTCCAAATGCCCTTGTGTCTCTTTGTTCTGTTCTGAACAAGGAACACAAAGCCCCCAAGCGCACATGCTGCCCTGTGGAGCCTGGAATTCCCCAGGTGACTGTGCTGGGAGGGCCCCACTCCTTTCACCCTCATTGCCCGCCTCCGAGGCCCAGTGTTGTCATGGCAACGCCTGCAGAGTGGTGAAGGGTAGAACCCCAGCAGTTAGGGAAGGCCCCAGAATCTGGATTAGGCCATACCCCTCTCAGGGCCCCGGTGCCTCTCCAAGACAAGCTTGCCCAAGACCACTATGCTCTGCACCCGTCTTCTGTTCCTCGGTCCCACCCAGACCACTGTCTCTTCCAAGGTTGGAATATATGGTAAACTGAGGCCCAGAGCAATTTGGTGCTTTGCTCAAAGTGCCCTGGCAGCTAAAGCCAGGCCCAGGAGCTCACCACTGACCTCTACCGTGTGAACAGCCGCCTACCAGGAGCTGGGCGCTGATCTGGAGCTTCTCTGTCTGGATCTCCCGCAGAGGCCTCTTGAGCAGGGCCTTGGTCATAGCGTTCTGGGCCGTCATGCGCGTGGCCATGTTCAGGTCCTTCACAGTCATCACAGACAGTACCGGATCCCAGATGCGGAACTGGACATCAGCCCCCACGGACAGCACAGCCCCATCCTTAGAGGCCAGCTGTTGGGGGAGGTCGTGAAAGAGGAGATACTCAAGGGGCTGGTGCTGCAGGGAGCTCTGGCCCACCAAGACCACCCAGCTTGACCTGCCCTCCTGGTACCTAGCTCCTCAAAGGGAAAATCACGTCCCCAAGTGCACGTCAGTAGGTACATTGAGCAAGGATGTCCTCCCAGCCTCCATCCTCAGCTTTTCTGGTTTCTTCTGCCACCCTGCCCCTGATGGCTACTCATACACCATGGAACTGGCTCCCACAGTCATGCTGCACAAGCCCCCACTCCCGCTGTCTGAGGGAGCCGAGAAGATCCTCACCTTGCAGGGAGGGACATTGAAAGCACGTGTCCTCAAATCCACCCGCTGGAAGGAGTCAATGAAGGGCAAGAGCAGAACCATGCCGGGCCCCTGAGGGGTGCGGATCCGGCCCAGTCGAAACACGATCACCCGCTCATAGGTGGGCACAATCTGTTCACGAGGGTGAGAGAGAGGGGTGAAAGTCCTGGGCCTAGGCTCACAACGGCGTCTGCCCAGGTACCCCCCTCCCCTCTCTCTCCTTTGCCTTGGTCGGTGTCAGATATCCTTAGATCTTTTTGGAAGAGAAAACCAAGACTCTGAGAGGTTAAATGATTTGCTCAAAAACCACAGAGCCCCCGAGTGAAACAGGCAAGATTTGAATGCAGTTCTGAATGACTCCAACCCCAAACAAAGGGCTTTGTCAACTTTAGAAGTAAATAGGTCCAAATTGAGAAATGAAGGCCCAGAGAGGCAAAGTGACTTGCCCAGGGTCACACGGTGTTTGTTTCACTGGCAGCTTTAGGACTAGGATTTAGCACCTTCTAAAGACTTCCTTCCAGACCACACCAAACCCGAAGGCTTTCTAGAAAAATTGACTGTTTCCTAGGGCCACAGAAAGGGCACGGCCTGCCTGGGCTTCCACCTTCACTGCAGCTCTCAGATATGATCTTTAAGTACAGCTCCAGCTTTCCCCTCTGCACCAGCCCTTGTTAAAAACCAGGCCTGAATTCCTATTACTCATTACCTACTGGGCCAAGTGGAGTAGTTTTCAGTTCAAATTTCAGCCTAACCCACAGAAAGGAAGATGTGGCAAAGATCTGTGTGCACCTTAAAGCCAGCGTCCAGACCCCAGAACTTGGGCGTTTGGGAAGGCTTGTTTGCCACTCACTGGCTCCCAGTATGACTTTGGGCAAGCCTGAGCCTATTTCCTCATCTGAAAGATACAAATGAAGAATCCCGGACCAGCCCATTTCACTGGGATGTGATAATGTAATATTCAGGGGAAGGGGACAGAGGATGGAGAGTGGGGCCCAATCCCCCGGAGTCTGACCCAGCCAGCCTTACCTTCAAGGCGAACCAGCCGGAAATGGGGAAAGTGATCAGCAGCAGCAAGAACCCCAGGAAACTGATGAGGCCGTGGCAGAGGTAGGAGGGCCAGCTCTGGGGCGCGTCTGGGGACAAGAGAGCAGAGGCAGTCAGGGAACACCAACCAGTGCTGGCAGGACAGCAGCAGGCTGAGTGAAGTTGGTCAAGTGCACCTTTTGCCCACCTCCCCCTTCAGCAGCTAGTCCCTCCTCGGAGCTCTCAGTTGCCTCCTTGCCTCATTTCTGTCTCTAGCCAGATGCTAGTGAAGAACGTTCCCTCCTCCCACACATCAAAACTAATCTGCCTCGAGTTCCACCTCCACAAGGCCTTGTCTCTGCTAGGCAACAGCCTTTAGATTTGAGAAGCCAATCCATGTGATGCTCTCCTCACCAGGGATCTGGATCAATTCTCTTGTCTGATAGATAGTGCCTCCCATACCTGGCACAGAGCCAGGAGCACCCAGGCATCTGTAAACACTGTGCTGGATTGAACTGAACGCTGGTGGTAGAACACATTCCTCTTCCACCATCAGCCCCAGAAGTGTGCTTTCATCCTCTTGGAGATAAGGCCTTAGGCTATCCTAATGCTTAGGATAAAGCATTAATGGCTCAACGGGAACCACAGGTGAGGGTGAAGATGTTCTTCTCTAGCTCACAACTCACGCCCCCTTTTAATGCCCTAAGGACTATCAAATACTTGAAGTGGCTTCGGGTAGGAGGTGGGAACTAGGGAGATGAGGCTCATCTGAGATCAGAAGTCCTGGCCCCTTGGAGAACCAAGAGCCCACGATGAATATGGAGCTGAGAGCCCGAGAATCTAGCATGGTTATCCTCTGGTATCTTTCTCCTCCCAAGGCCTGGGCAGGAAGCAGACAGGAGCTTTTGCTCAGTCCTTCCAGGAACGCTATGCCCTCTGGGCTCTCCAAACCCCAGGATGCTTTCCTGTCTAGCTCTGACCCCTGTGGCCCCTGAAGGAAAGGAAGCCTTGGAGAGGGTCAGCTGTCATTACAGGAGTGTCAGGAGAGACCAAATCCTCCAGGGTTTGCCTGTCAGACTGAATTATGTGGGATCTGGCCCTGGGGCCAAGGGAATCTCTCAAGGCTCTGGAGCAAGAGGTGACCAAAGCTGACACAACAGGCAGCCAAGGGCCTGCCCATATCCACCAGGAAATAGGCAGATGCTTAAACTCCAGGCATCTAGAAGTAGCCCCTGTAATCAAGATTTTGCCATTTCTCTGCGGCCAAGCACCCTTAGAGCTCTGGTGACCTCCCATGCCTAGACTCTGGGGTCTTTCTGGTCAAAATGGGAATTTGAGGGGTCTCCTGCGTGGCCCAGTCGGTGAATATGCCGACTGTAGGTTTCTGCTCAGGTCATGATCTCAGTTCCTGAGATCTGGTCCCCTCTGCTTGAGATTCTCTCCCTCTCCCTGTCCCTTCGCCCGCCCTCCCGCCCTCTCTCTTTCAAAGAAATAAATACATCTTCAAAATGAGAATTTGAAATCCCTTCCCAGGCTTAAAGGGCTGATAAAAGCCGAGAGGATAAATGAAGGGATGAGGCCTGTTAGAAGATGAGAGAGCTCCGGGCCAGCAGCCCAGTAGCCCTAGGGAGGGCGGGTGAGCGCTAGCATCCCAATGCCTGGTCCAGCCCCTTCTCCACGCCGTAGCCACTCTCGGTGCCTCCTCTTAGGGCGCGAGGGCGCCAGACCGGCTGACTCCTGAGGGTACCAGCCGGTCCCCGCCCCGGGTCCGCTGTGCTGGGCGGCCACTCACCGGCCCCCCGGCCCCACGCCGCCCCGCTCCGGGGACAAGCAGCCCTTCTGCGAGCCCAGGAAGCCGAAGCTCGACTGCTGGAAACGATCAAAGTCCCCCAGGGGCAGCGCCCGGTACCCGGACCTGCCGAGCATGGCTCTTGACAGGGGCACGCCCCGCACCCCCGCGCGGTGCCAGGCCAGAGAAGCCGGCAGCTATCCCGCCCGCCCCTGCTGGCCGCTGCTTCCGGTCTCACTGGCCACGGGCGCAGGAGGCGGTGGCTAGCCGGGGCGGCTCCCGCTGTCCCACAGCGCCCCCTGCGCCGGGAGGACCGAGCCCGCCAGAGTCGTGCTCCCGCCTGGCCTTGGAAAAGGAGCTGGAAGGCAAGGTGAGCTTTGCGAGTGGGATTTCAGAGCCGAATTTCCTCCAGAATCGAGGAAATGCTACCAGCCTTCTCAGCATTCCCGCTCCAAAGTCACATACTGGGGTGGGAGTGTGTGGGATGTCTTATCTAGAATCAGGGTTTCTCCTGGGCACAGCCCGCAAATTACTCCTCCTTGGGTCCCCACAGCCCTGCAAGCCTGGCACAGAATGGATCTCAACACTTATTTGTTGAATGAGCTCGTAGCCAGCCTCACTGTGGTCGAGGTGGGGCGGGAGGGCCCGAACTTTGGCACAAAAAGAGAAATTTCATGTGCAGAGCTCAGGGAGCACAGCAGAGTGAGGAAGGAGGGGACAGCACAGAGCATCCCAGAGCAGGCCCTCCAGAGTATCACAAAAGTCCAGAAACAGCACACCCCTTGATCCAGAGGTAACCTGACCTAGAGGTAACTTGCCTCTCCATGGCTTGAGAAAATCTAAATGCAAATGGTAACTTTACTCTGAGAAGTAATGATTTTCGACATGGAGTTTTAAATGTTGCTCTCTTTGAAAGTGATTAATAAGAAATCAATAAAGCTTTCCTTGTCTCAGCCACATGCCAGCCCTGCCTCCTCAGACCCAATAGAGACCCAACAGGGACCCTTCCAGGTCCCTTCTGCAGCTGCTGCTCACCATCTTCGGCTTTTCCTGGTTCAATGGCCCGATTCTAAAGCCCTGAGGCTGGAGGGTAGGGTAAGGCCCCTGAGGCCTCACAGGGTCCTGGGAAGTTGGCTTTCCCTCCCATTCCCTTTCCCCACACAGGCCAGAAGATCAGCTTTACAGGAGCAGGGTTCCATCACCATTCCTAGTCGGCTGCAAGCTGGAACTGAGCACAGAATTGTACCAGAAGTTAGCACAGTGGTTGGGATGGTTTGATTTTTGAAGCCAGAGCCTTTGGCCCAGTGAAGCTGCCTAGAGGTGTTTTCTCCCCTCACCAGCTGGGAGCTGGCATGCTCCTTTGGTCAAGAGCTAACCTGCTCTCTCCTCACTGTCTTCATATCTGCTCTCACCAGCTCTCCCCCTTCCCTCCCTGCTCCTCTGCCTCAGACTCACCAACCTCTCTAGCTGTCACCCAAGGCACCGTCCTATTCCCCTCAGCCCCACTCAGTGTCCTCCCAGCGTCTCTGACTCAGATCCCTCCTCTGCATCTCACAACCATTGTCCTAGACCAGGCCACGGTCCTAGGTTGTCAGAGTTACCGTCCCAACATGCATGTTGGGTCATGTTTCTGGGTTCTAAACTCACTGTCACCCACAGACCTGGTCCAATTTCTTAGCCCTGTCCCCCCTCATGGGTCCCCTCTTAAATCTGAAAATAACGAAAACTAGTTTTTAAGCAGACTCTCCTGTTTCAAACCTCCAGGCCTTTGCACGTGCTGTTCCAAGCTCTCCCCGCCCCACCCCAAGTTCCTTCAAGTCCCAGCTGAGGATCTCCTTTCCAGCCAGTCCCTCTATTGTGTGAAAACCTCTGGGTAACTGTTGCTCTTCCATTAGACCAGGAGTTCCTCCAAAGTAGAGCCACCTGCGGCTCATCTCCGTTACGGGGCCCAAAGCCTAGGGCGGCCGCCGCCTCCCTTCTGCTCTGCTCTGCCACGGTCCCTTTACCCCCAGGTCAGCTGAGCGTCTCATCTGCTCCCAATCCTCCCTCCGGCTCTGGGCGTGTACTCCAAGCCCACCGCCGGCCTCTCCGCCCCTAGAACCGCCCCTCGCTCTGTGTCACTTCCTCTCGGGAGGCGGGCCCTCCCCGGGCACCGCCCCTTTCGGACCCGCTAAGGAGACTACCGCGTCTGGCGCCGGCCTCTCGTTCCGCTTCCCTTCCCGCCCCTCAAGCTCAAAACCGAGAATCGAAACTGTGCTGTGATCCATGCAGCAGGAGCCTGCACCCGCCAGATCTCCGGGTCCCCAGCAAGACCCCGCACTGCCCCACACGCCCACAATGCCTCCCCCGGAGTCCGTCCCCGAAGGCCATCAGCCCAGCCCCAGCCCCGCGGAGGTACTACTGGGTTTGGGGAGATGGGGTTTAGGCTTTGTTGATTCGCTACGGTGCGGGTAGAGGTGGGAAGGGAGAGGGCAACTTGACCAAGTACCTTAAAGACTGACACAGAGAGAAAGCCAGGTATTGGGTCTTGACCCTCTTGGCTGGAGTAAGGGTACGTGAGAGTAGAAAGGGGGCAGCAGGATGAGTTAGGGGAGCCTCTCTCGGCTGGGATTCGCCAAGAACAGGGGGCAAGACGCTGAGGGTCCCTGACACTTGGGACTGGACTTGTCTGCCCACTCTGGCGACCCGCCCCCTAAGCCTCTGCCTCGGGAGAAGGTGCACGGATTAGGGAGAATGGCGGGAGGAGCCCTATTGCGCAGGCCTGGAGCCGGGGGCATGTCCCAGGTGTGGAAAACCAAAACCCAAGTTCCCAGGTCAGAAAGTGGAAAACTGGCCCAGATGAGAGACGTGCCCTGGCTAAGGCCTCAGAGCTCCTGTGGTGGTTTCACCGCTGGGGTATCTCCAGGATCCTTTTCTTGGAGCACGCTGCATGCTCAGTCCACCCCCGCAAGGCGCTTACAAGGTCCTCGCGGAAACTTGCCTCAGCCTTCTCTCCGACATACTCCCCAGCTGCCTTCCTCCCCGAGAGGAGCTACTTACATCCGTTGCTCTATGTTCTCCCAGGCCCTTTGGGCTCCCCTTCGTGAAAGCACCAGGTTGCAGTGATTTTTATAATTTGCATTATTAGAACTAGGAGTAGTATTACTTAATTATGAACACTCCTCATGGGCCAGGTACTGTATAGTAAGCACTTTTTATTTTTGCTATAAAATATCCATAACGTAAAACTTACCATGTTTTTAAAGATTTTATTTTTTGTAAGGAATCTCCTCTCCCCATGTGGGGCTCAAACTTACAACCCTGAGATCAAGCGTTGCCTGCTCCACGGACTGAGCCAGCCAGGCGCCCCGAGAACTTAACTGTTTTTAAGCGTACATCTCAGTGGCATTACATGTATCTCACAGTGTTGGGTAACCCACCACCATCTGTTTCCAGAAGTTTTTTCATCACCCTCAACAGAAACTGTACTCCTTAGGTGGTAGCTCATTATTACTCCCTTGTCCCAAGTCCTTGTAACCTCCAAACTACTTTCTGTTGCTGTGGATTTGCCTAGTCTAGATATTTCATATAAGTGGACTGTGCAATATTTGTCCTTTTGTGTTTGGCTTATTTTGCTTAGCATAATGTCTTCAAGGTTCTCATAGCATGTATGAGAAGGCCCTTCCTTTTCATTTTATTTATTCATCAGTAAAGATTTTATTTTTAAGTAACCTCTATACACCCAAGGTGGGGCTTGAACTCACAAGCTGGAGATCAGGAGTCACATGCTCCACCAACTGAGCCAGCCAGCACCCCCACCTTCCTTTTTTTAAAGCTGAATGATAGTCCATTGCACATGTAGACCCCTTGTGTTTATCCAGTCATCCCTTGATGGACACTTGGGTTGTTTCTACCTTTTGGCTCTTGTGCCTAACGGTGCTATGAACATGGGTTTGCAAGTATCTGTTTGGGTACTTGTTTTCAGCTATTTGGGGAAATGTATCTAGGAATGAAATTGCTGGATTATATGGTAGTCCTGTGTTTAACTCTCTGAGGAGCCACCAAACCACGGGACGTACTTTATGTGATGCTATATGAGATACACTTAAAGGATCTCCTTTCTACACGGAGTCCCAGGAAGGCAGGGATTTATCCATCCGTGGATCTCAGGGCCAGTACTGTGCCTTATGGGAAGTAGATGCTCAGTCCATTGGGGAGTGAGAGCAGGAAGAACTGACTAAGTGGGGGAGTGTGATCCTGGGAAGCCTGGGTTTTGTATCATCCAATGACTGCCGGGAATGGAATATGGAGTCCCACTCCCAGCCTCCAGCCTCAGGAGCCCGTCTGGTGGGTGGGGACTCCTGGATTTCAGGCTCACCCCAACCTCTCTGGTCCCCCAGCAAGCCCTGGAAGAGGAATTCCAATTCCTGCGCTGCCAGGCATGCCAGGTAGAAGCCAAGTGCCCCAAGCTGCTGCCTTGTCTGCACACGCTGTGCTCGGGGTGCCTGGAGGCGCCAAACTTGAAGTGCCCGATCTGCCAGCTGCCCGGGCCCTTAGGCGCTGACTCGCTGGTGCTGGATAATGTCTTCTTCGAGAGTCTACAGCGGCGCCTGTCGGTGTACAGGCAGATCGTGGATGTGCAGGCCGTTTGCAACCGCTGCAAAGAATCCGCGGACTTCTGGTGTTTCGAGTGTGAGAAGCTCCTCTGTGCCAAGTGCTTCGAGGCGCACGAGTGGTTCGTCAAGCACGAGGTCCGGCCCCTGGCGGAGCTCCGCGGCCAGTCGGTGCGGGAGTTCCTCGATGGCATGCGCAGGTCCAACAACATCTTCTGCTCCAACCCCATCCACTGCCCCCCTATGTTGACGAGGTGAGCCCGCTGGCCCAGGGTGGGGTGGCACTCCTAGAGCAGGGTAGATGGTGCGGGGAGCAGAGATCCAAAGGGTCATACGGCTGGAAATGTGAGATAAGGAGCTCCCAGGGTTTTGCAACTCAAGAGTGTGGTCTGCAGACCGACAGCATCTGGAGCCATGCCCACAGTTTATGTTATCCCATGCAAATGGCTAGTAATCGTTAACCGTTTCCCCTGTAATAAATAACGCCGCAGAATCATCTTTACTTACACTTACCCAGTCATTTCTACAGGGTAAATTTTGGAAATGCTATTGCAGTGCAGGGGTATGAAAATTTTACACTTTGATACATGTTA